GTCTGGGAGCCCCATCAAGACCATATGACCATGAAAAGATCTCGGACCCCAAACTACGTTTGTTTGTGACAATATCCTTGCTCACATCTCACTTTCAGCCTTTGCTTTTAAGATATAACAGTTCAGTGTTGGCTTCTGTGAGGAGCTGGGCAACAGGTTAACATCCAAGACCCCTCTGAACTGGCTATTTCCCTGAAACCAAGGAAGAATCTGGAAAATGTATGCTCAGAACTCCAAGGAAGAAATGGTGGGATGTTTTCTCAAGGGCTTAGGGAAGACAAAGAGCACTATTCGGCAGGAATTACTTGGCTTTTAAAGAACCTCACCACATAGAGAACTCTGGGCCCTAGGCAATCATCAGAATATGGGGTGTATAATCCTGAGCAGACAAGAGCTGCCCTCTCTGGTCAGTTTGTGCGACTGAACAACTGAGTCAGAACTCAGCAGTCAGAAAGAATTGTCTAGGGGCTCCTGGTGGCTCAGTCAGTTGGGCATCTGCCTTCGGCCAAGGTCAGGATCCCAGGGGCATGGGATGAAGCCCTGTGGGCTCCCTGCTCAGTGGGGAGTCTGCTTCTCCTGCTCCCTCTGCCCCTCCCCCACCCCACTCATGCTCTCTCCTGTGTGCACTCTCTCTCAAATAAATAAAGCCTTTAAACAAAAAAAAAAAGAAAGAAAGAAAGAAAGAAGGAAGGAAGAGAGGAAGGAAGGAGTAGGCTATAAAGAACAAACACGAGGCTCAGCATGAACCTCTGAGCATGTTCAGAAGCCTGTAAGTCTTACATGTCAAAATGCTCAGCCACATGAAACCCCAGATGCCTTTGTGCATTCTATCCTTTTTTTTCCCCAACAGTAAGGTACAGGAAGAGAGTTACCAAGAGGTAGCAATCAGGAGAACTGTGCCTAGCAAGCCTCCTGCTGGCTCTGTCCCCACACTGAGGGACACCCAAGGGGAATTGTTTAAGTAGAATCACACTGAAGTTGGGCTCAAGAGGTGTGTAGAAAATGGTGCTTTAAACAAAGTTGAGATCTCCAGGGTCCCGAGACTTGACTTGATGTCACACTGCCCTTTACAACATTTTTTAAAGAATTTGGGTTTATCACAAGAGAGAAGATGGCTGTGACCCAGGTCTTGTGCTTCAGGAGATGCCAAGGGCTAACTCTGGCCACCTCTGCAGTGGGTGGCGGCTGAAAAGGCCCCACAGGGTAGGAAGGGCCTCACAGAAGCTCTTACTTTAACTTAGAATCCAGGCTTCCAGTCAGCTTTGGCAGCAGCTTCGACCCACCTGAACCTCAGTTTCTTCTGAGGAACGAGGGTGAATTCAGCCTTCAGACATGTTGTATTTGGCACAGTGTTTTTGAGTTTTTATCTAATTGCCAATATTTCTGTAGTGAGAATTTGTATTTAAAAATCCAGAATTTGGGGGCCAGAGTCATCAGGCCAGGATGTTCAGAGAAGCAGGTGGGAGAACTCCCAGCTGCTCTTAGTATGAGATTGGAGGTAAGAAAAGTCAGAGCTAATATTAAGCTGCTGGTGCTGCCAAAAGAAAAAAAAAGAAAGAAAGGAAGGAAGGAAGAAAGGAAGAAAGAAAGGAAGAAAGGAAGAAAGGAAGAAAGGAAGAAAGGAAGAAAGAAAGAAAGAAAGAAAGAAAGAAAGAAAGAAAGAAAGAAAGAAAGAAAGAAAAGAAAAGAAAACCTGGGGAATTTGGTCCATCCAGCAACCACTGAAGATAAGTACTGGTTGCTGTTTTCAGTGGGGCTGGCCCTGTCGGCCCCCGCCCCCCCCAAGTCCTGATGATGGGACCAACTTCCCTCATATAAGAGTCCTGTCCACCCCTGGAGCCTTTGCAGTTATGATCCTTGAACCAGATGGTTCTTTGGCTCTAACTGGCGACAACAGCAACAACAGCAACAGCTACACTTAGCAAATGGTTCCAGTCTTCTGCCGGCCATTTACACACATGAGCTTGTTTCAGACCTACGACACCTTGTAAGGTAGGATCATTAACCTTAGTGTCTAAATAAGAACACAGAGGTTCAGACCTGTAGGTAAGTTTGCCCACTGTCACACTGACCAGCGAGCAAGAGTCAAGACTTGAACCTGGGGCTGCCTAGGTCTGAGGCATGATCCTAACCATCACACTATCCCGCCGAGATCACTGTTCTCTTTGTCAGCCTAACTTCTGCGCGGCTAGCGCCAGAACGGCGGCGGGCGGTTTATGAGTGTTAACGCCCCATGTTCCGAGCCAAGTCCTAGAGACGCAGGTGAGTGTGTACCCAGTGAGCAGAAAATCAGGAGGTGGGAAGTGGGAGGTGATGGGGCACATCCTTGGTTATAGCATCTGGGCCCCTGAAGCCGAAGTGCTTGGTGGTGAGTGTCTAGAGCAGACAAGGGAGATGAGCTGGGGCTGCGGGGGAGGCAGGTCAGTCTCCGCGGAGGGCGGGACCCTTGAGAGGCCTTGGGGAGAAGCTCGAGCTGCTCTAGCGCTGACAGGCAGCTGGAACCGGAGAGCGTTAGGGCTGACGCCCGCGCTGCTGCTGGCAGAACTCTCTGGCTACGGGTGCTTGGGGTGGGGGGGCTGTGCTGAGTGGAAATCGGGTGGCTGTCTGAGCTGGGGGGCAATGGGAGCCTCTGAGCCATGGGGCTTAGGGGTCCCACCCGTGCCTTCCTATTCCTTGCCCCTGTCCCCGCCTTGTCTGAGTGGTCTGTGGTAACCAACCAGGTTCCTTTGCAGGAGGCAGCCCCGCTACCTCACCGGGAAAAATAGGCCTGGAGCCTTTCTTAGGTGCAGCAACTTACCTAACGCCTCAGGGCCACCAAGCCCCTGCAGTGCAAGGACGTGAGAAGGACAGGGAGGAAAGGACTCGCTCCGAGGCCCTTCACCTCGGCGCGGGGGCTCAGCCGCGACTTGCCTGGCCCGGTGGGTAGCAGGGGGGATGAGGCGCGGTCAGGGGGTGAGGGCACCGCGCCGTTCGGTGGCCCAGTCAGCTGAACGGCGCGAGCCCAGAGTTCCGCGCCCTGTCTGCGATCCCGCAGCCCGGGCCTGGTGCGCCCCTGCGGGGGGCCGAGAACACCGCAGGCAGGTGGCGGCGCGGGGCGAGGAGGCCGGCGGACGGAGCTCCAGCCCCGCCCGGGAGCTGGGTGCGCCCCCAGCCCACCTGCGCGAGGGCACCCCGCCCGGGGGAGGAGGGGCGGGAGTCTGAGGCGGGTCGGATTCCCAGCCAGCTCTCTCCTCACAGGAGGCGGCCCATTATCCGGCGTCGTTAAAGAGCAATTAGATGGAAATTAAGCCGAGAACAAGTATTGATTATCTCATTAAGGCCGGGGGAGCCCGCTCGGTCGGTGAGAGTTTACCGCCGCTCACCCCATTATCTGCAAGGTGAAAGCCTGCGGTCATCAAAACCCAGTGAAGTATCGATCTTACCCCTATCCCCAAACCCAGTCCCAGGCCCTCCCTCTAGAGTGTGTAGGTTCTAGAGAGGTGACACCGGGGGTGTGACAAAGTGGAGGAAGACCTCACTCAGGCCCCCACTCTCTGGGTCTTAGCACTTCCTCTGAGGTTCCTTTCATTTTCTTCTTCTAAATCATTATTTTTCCCGATGCTCCCGGGTGGGGGTGGGGGGCCGAGACTAGAGATAGTTCACATCTCTCTAGGACGGTAGAGGGGACTCCCCTAGTTTTACATCCGGGGAAGATAAACTAAAGTTGAAACTAAACCGCAAGTATTTGCCCCTGTCGACACAGTGTATAGGGTGTCCCTGGGCCCCAAACCCCTTACCCTGCAGGGAGGTGGGAACGGCCTAGTTCTGGATCACCACCATCCCCAAAGGAAGAGACACCTGGGATCGCCCCCAAGGCCCCCAAGTCTTAGAAACCTCAGAGTTCAGAAGGGACTTCCCCAGGGTCCCAGATGATGTGATCTTCGGAGAAAAATCACAGCGTGTTAGAGAGAAAAGTTGTTTTCATCCTAGTTTTGCTTCTAGCTAGCTGTGTAACCTCAGGCAAGTCACTTGCCTCTTCAGGCCGCAGACTCCGCAAAAGAATGGGGTTGGAAGGGCTCTAAAGCTTCTGCGCCCTCAGACGCAATAATCTGTCAGACAAAGTGCTGAGCTCGGGCTGGCAGGCCTCAGGGGATGCAGCTGTATGCCCAGCCCCTGCCTGCCCCCCAAGAGCTTATGCCCTCAAGGGGAAGAAGACATTGAACAGACAATCATGGAAATAATTAATAAGTTACAATTATGATATGAATGAGAAGGAAGAGTGCAGGTGCTATGAGGCTGTTTAAGAAGGGAGCGGTGGGAGATTGTGCAGGAAGCAGATGTTTCAGTAAAAACATAGGGAAAGCCTGTTGCCCACTAACTCATTCAACACACACTTCCTGAAGGTGCTCCAGAGCCCATGGTGAGCAAAACGATGGTCCCTTCTCTCTGGAGCCCACAGTCCAGTGAGGTCGACAGATATCAATGACATAATCACAAATAAAGGCCAAAGCACACATATGGTACATATACTGAAAAATATGTGGGAGCAATGAGCGAGAATAAGAGGACGAATTGACTTGGGGAAGAGAGGGTCAAGGAAGCCTCTCCGAGAAAGCGATGGTCAGTCCATCGTTTAAGATCAGAAGTCCTGCAATCAAGTCTTTCGGGAAAGCTGGGGGAGTCTCCCGGAGAGGGCGCACCTTCCTCCCCAACTCGCCTTGCCTCGGAGCGCGCCCAGCCCAGACCCCGTTGTGCGGCTTACCTGAGAGAGTTTCGGGCGAGCCCGAGGGAAGAGGGGAAGGAGGCGGAGGGAGGGGGGAGGAGGGAGGGATGGCGGCGGCAGGTGGTACGCCCGGCGCTCACCAAGTTGGCCCGAGCCGAGCGTGCGGCGCTGCTGCGGTATCTGGGCTCATCTCCCTGCCCCGGAGCCGGGCAACTATTAATCTTGGTTGACGGTTTCTAATGTCCTAATTGGGAAGTGGGGAGAGCGGCCCAGTCCGCCCTAAAGGTAGAAGCGGCTAATGGGCCTCTTCATCACCGCCAGGAGCGGGTCCCTGGCGGAGCGCGAGGGCGCTGCAGCAGGTGAGACGCGGAGCTGGCGGCGGCCCTTAATGAGGCCGCCGGGCCCGGGCGGCCCGAGCCCCCGGGAGGGAGGCGGTTCCAGGGGTGAGAGGGCGGAGAGCTCAGCCGCGCGCGGGGGCTCACCTTTACCTGAGGAGGCCTCCTGGGGGCGCAGTGCTGGGGGAGGGTGCTGGGTTAGACCTGAGTAGACACGGATCTTTGCAGAGGGGACAGGAGTTGGACGGGATATGGGGGAAGGGGGGGTCGCCCTGCAATAAGCGAGGGCCGAGCATAAAGTGGGCGCTCCGCAGTGCTGCTGACCCGCGAGGCCTGTGCCCGACGTGTGCAGGGCGGAGACGTTAGCAAGGGCGCATTCACCGGCTTCCGGGACCCTAATGACTCCAGAGCGCCTTGTCTTTTCGTAGCCGCGCCCCTGCCCCTCGGCGACTCAGTTTCCCTTCTGGAGCGGGTTTGTGAGCTCCCAGCCCTCACCTCTCCTGTCCGTCCCCCCAGCGCCCCACCAGCATATCCTGGCAGAACCTGCAGCCAACCTAGTCCCACCAAGACAGTTCCCCTCACCCACCCCCATGTGGCCCACACTGCCAGGGGGCAGGGTGGGGGTAGCGCTTGGGCCCACCCAGCCGGGTCGGCGCCGCTCCTGCCCTCCCCTGGGAACCGCTGCGTGCCGGAGCCGCGGCGGCTCTGCGGGCTTCGCTGTCTCCCGCTCGCTGGCAGCCTTTCTCCCGCCCCATTCCCCCTCCAGCCGCCTCAGAAATGTATTCTCACCTAATCCTGTTCAATTACAGCATAATAAAACACATAATAAAAGCCTAATTCATTTTTCTCCCGCGCCCATCTCCCGGCATCTTCTTGCTCGGGATTAAAAATTTGTCTTCATGCTTGTGGCGCCGCAGTCCCCGCGCGTCCGCATCTTTAATGTATGAGCCGGGGAGCTAGGGACCCGCCGATTGCGCCGTCTTCGCTCCGGGAAGGCGTCCGCTAGTCACCTGAGGATGCGGGTGGGGAAGGAGGGAGAAGCGCAGACCTAAGTGGGGCCCCGTTGGCAGCCACCCCTCCCTTCCACGGGATGGCTTGGGGCTCAAAGGCCCCCAGATTTCCAGTGGCCGGGCCATAGCTTGTCGGTCCGATCCAACACACCCAATGTGGCCTCCAGGGGCCGCAGCGTGGGGCAGGTCTCCCGGTGGAGTTTACCAAGAAGACTTGGCTACCTGATTGCAGGCCAGCTCCCTGATGCAGAGCAGAGCCGGGCCACGTGGAGGGGCCCCAGTGTCCTCAGCCTCCATTCTCTCCTTTGCTTCTGATCTCAGCTGGCCGGGCCAACGCGGCTCTGGCTTCTAAGTTCCCACCACCATCCCCAGTCCCTAGGGACTCTCTACCACCCTCTGATCACATTGTGAACAACCTGGATCTCTGAAACAAGGTTAGAACTTCCCACAAAGAATTATTAAGAATTCAATAAGAGAAGATTTCCTACAAAGGCACAGTACCTGGAGTTTCCAGAGGGTAGATCTGAGACCCAATACACCCCAGTGATATTTCCTCATGCCTTTTCTTCCCTCGTGCATTTAGGGCAAGGGTCCCCAACTTTCTAGAATTACAGAACCTTTAGTTTTCTAGTAATTTTTTCACAGTACCCTAGGCCAAAAGAAATATCAAGTAGTTCCCTGTAGCTAGTTAGGTCCAAGCAATTTAGTACATATTTATGGCCTAACTCCATTGTACCTGTTTGAAAAACGAATACACGTACATTTGTACCTGTTTGAAAAACGAATACACATACATTGGGGGGGGGGATCTTTTTTAAAGATTTTACTTATTTAGGGCGCCTGGGTGGCTCAGTTGGTTAAGCGACTGCCTTCGGCTCAGGTCATGATCCCAGGGTCCTGGGATCGAGTCCCACATCGGGCTCCC